TTTTCAACTATAATCTATTCAAATATTTTCTCGGGTCCTTTCTCTCTCTCTTCTCCTTCTGGGATCCCTATAATGTGAATGTTGGTGCGTTTAATGTTGTCCCAGAAGTCTCTTAGGCTGTCTCCATTTCTTTTCATTCTTTTTTCTTTATACTCTTCCACAGCAGTGAATTCCTCAATTCTGTCTTCCAGGTCACTCATCCGTTCTTCTGTCTCAGTTATTCTACTATTGAGTCCTTCTAATGTATTTTTCATTTTAGTTATTGTATTGTTTATATTTGTTTGTTCTTTAATTCTTCTAGGTGTTTGTTCTTTAATTCTAGGTCTAGGTCTTTGTTAAACATGTCTTGCATCTTCTTGATCTTTGCCTCCATTCTTTTTCCAAGGTCCTTAATCATCTTCACTACCATTATTCTGAATTCTTTTTCTGGAAGGTTGCCTATCTCCACTTCATTTAATTGTTTTTCTTGGTTTTTTTCTTATTCCTTCATCTGGTACATAGTCCTCTGCCTTTTCATTTTGTCTCTCTTTCTGTGACTGTGGTTTTTGTTCCACAAGCTGCAGGACTGTAGTTCTTCTTGCTTCTGCTATCTGCCCTCTGGTGGATGAGGCTATCTAAGAGGCTTGTGCAGCTTCCTGATGAGAGGGACTGGTGGTGGGTAGAGCCGGGTGTTGCTCTGGTGGGCAGAGCTCAGAAAAACTTTAATCCACTTGTCTGCTGATGGGTGGGGCTGAGTTCCCTCCCTGTTGGTTGTTTGGCCTGAGGCAACCCAGCACTGGAGGCTACAGGATATTTGGTGGGGCTAATGGTGGACTCTGGGAGGGCTTACGCCAAGGAGTACTTCCTAGAGTCTCTGCTACCAGTGTCCTTGTCCCCGCAGTGAGCCACAGCCACCCCCCACCTCTGCAGGACACCCACCAAAACTAGCAGGTAGGTCTGGTTCAGTCTCCTATGGGGTCACTGCTCCTTCCCCCTGGTTCCTGATGTGCACATTACTTTGTGTGTGCCCTCCAAGAGTGGAGTCTCTGTTTCCCCCAGTCCTATAATCGAAGGACTATAATCAAATCCCACTAGCCTTCAAAGTCTGGTTCTCTGGAAATTCCTCCTCCTGCTGCCGGACCTCCAGGTTGGGAAGCCTGATGTGGGGCTCAGAACATTCACTCCAGTGGGTGGACTTCTGTGGTATAACTGTTCTCCAGTTTGTGAGTCACCCGCCCAGCAGTTATGGGATTTGAGTTTTTTTGTGATTGTGCCCCTCCTACCATCTCACTGCAGCTTCTCCTTTGTCTTTGGATGTGGGGTATGTTTTTTGGTGAGTTCCAGTGTCTTCCTGTCAATGACTGTTCAGCAGTTAGTTGTGATTCCGGTGCTCTCACAAGATGGAGTGAATCCATGTCCTTCTACTCTACCATCTTGAACCAATCTTCTCCATTAATATCTTGATACTAGTTACTCACAAGTATGTATTCAGTCATTTGTTTTAATGAAAGATTATTCATTTCTCTGAATAATTTTGTTTATGTAGCATAATTAAAGGGAGCAAAATATAACTAAATCGCATTGATACTCCTTGTAAATTTGCTAAAAAGAAAATCTTACTTTGGGCTTAGTATCATGATTGTTATATGCAAATATGTATGTTGTTTCCTAGAAAAAAATTCATCTATTAACCATATTTTAATATATTTTAGTGAGCTTGAAGTTTGCATCTTAAATATCATAGGTTAAATTGAAATATGTGAAACAGTGTAAGAAAATGCTCACATTTCTTGGCTTAGAAATAACAGCAATTTTCAAGTTCAAGCAGGAAGTTCTATAGGATTCCACATTTAGAAATGTACTACTTGCAGCCAGTTGCTCTATACTTTCAAAATTGTTATTACTTCAACTAAGATCGTCTTTTGAAATTGTAGATCTCTAGGGTAAATACCATGGGATATATTGTAAAAGATTGTTTTCTAATTCTTGGAAGGCATATGACAAACACTTCATGTAAAAGATGGATTGGTGTGTATCCTTTAACAAGAATGAATAAGAAAGACTCAAGTCAAAGGATGTTTTTGGGGCCAGGGAAACTGGGAGAAGGAGTGAGTGGCAATCATTGGGCTTCCTCAGGGAGGGGTAACATTAACATTTGCTGCCTGACTTCTAAGATGTCATCAGAGAACCTCTAATTCTGTGACTCTGGGATCCAGAAAATGGAATGATTATTACTTTGCCTTCCCTTTATACATTAGAAAAATGATGACAATGAATATTATTTCTATTGATAGATCCCCTGATACTGTGCTAAGTATTTTACATGTATTTAAAAAGTGCCATATGCAATATATATATTTTCAAATAGTATAACTGAGCCAATAACAAAGAAAAGGGTTTAAACTCTTTGCTTATACATCGTAACTCATTTTGTACTATCAAGATCCCCAAATCCCACAATATTGTATAGCTTTCCCAATTCTGTGTTAATTACAACAATTATTCTTAAATCTGGATGATTCTCTAGCTTGGGTGGCTGGAGGTGGTTCCCCAGACAGAGCTGACCTCTGCATCTGTTTTCCTGCAGTTCATGCAACTGGGGAGGGAGAAGCAGAGAGGTCCCTGACCCTTCCTCAAACATCCATACTCAAGCCGCAAACCTACACATTTTCTGGTGGCCGTTCCCCCAACTTTAAATATCCTCTGTATCCTTGACATCCAGTCACTCTTTACTTCTTTCAATTCCTCCCTCAGAGGTGTTTTTCCACACAATTTTCCTGACCAACCTCATTGCACACTGATTCGCCTTTGCTTTGCATTCTTGAGCACTTTTATCAAGTTCAGATTCTGTTCCAGAGGAGCACCTAGATAGAAGTTTATACTTTCTTCTTCTTTGCTTGCCTCTTCAAATCACACTCTAAGTCCCTGGGGCAAGTGGTTTTCCTTTTACACCTACTTTTAAAATATATATATACATAATTATCACCCTTCTCCTTTACCTCCCTTTCTTTCTCCTCCCTTCCTTCCTCTTCCTACCATACTTTGAAAGCCGTTGTATGCTACCAAACTCTGAAAATAGATAAATGTATCAGTTGACATCTTTTAGTCTCAACGGTTTCTAGAGTTAATCTTCTAAGACATACGTATGTCAAGTTATAGCTGATATTTGTAATTTATGTTTAAACTTTTAGTTGAAATTCAAACTATGATTTTGAGGTTGGACCCAAGAATGTATTACGATTATCTCCATGAATACTAAGGTCCTTTCTGAGTGGTTGATAATTTTCCACCTACTCAAATGCTCACCGAAACTTTTAATTTTGACCAGCTTCTAGTCACCCTAGTTTAGGATTAAAGCAAATTATACTTCATATACTTTTTCTTATTTTATATGTAAACAATATGCATAAAATGAAGAGCAAAAGCAACTTTGAAGAGGGAAATACATAATAAAAAGACACTGTAAGCCCACACAAAGGGAAAG